GAAGAGGAGGAGACAGTCGGGGAGGAACAGACGCAGGGTCAGGGGACGGAAGGCCGAGCAGGCGAAGGGCTGACACCGGCGGGGACTGCTGCTGCGGCAGCACAACGCCGACACCGGGACCGCAAGCTGCTCCTCGGCTACCACCGGCACACTCCAGACCAGCACCCCCAGAGGGAACACCTCCAGGGCCCGAAACCCCTCGAGGACCGGGACAACCCCCAGGGCTACCGGGACTAGCACCCCCAGAGTCAACGAACGGGTGCTGCGACGGCGGCGGCGGCGGCAGCGACAACGACGGCTGCAGCGGCGGCAGAGGCGGTGGAGGAGGGGACTGGGGAGGGGACGCCGGGGGAGGGGCGGCCGGCGAGGACTGCGCAGCAGGGCCACGAGAGTCAGACGACTCCTCAACCTGGTCCACCGACGGAAGGGGGGTGACGTGGGACACACCAGAGGGGGCCGGACGGGGAGGAGGAGGGGGAGGGGCAGGGACTACTGGGGAAGGAGTGACCAGGAACAGGGGGGGGGTAACCGGGGGACCGCGGTGGGGGAAGCGACGGTAGTAGGAGACGGACTCGTCAAAAGTGACGTCGCGAGAGTGAAAGAAGCGGTGAGACGGCGGGTGGTAAAAGTGCCAGTCGGACGCCTCAAGGGAAAAACCTAGGAAAACGCAGGGAAGGGTGCGGGCAGTGAGCTTGTCCGTGCCAAAGGCACGAACGTGAGCAAGGCAGCCCCAGACGTGGAACGCCGACGCGTCACCAGGAGACCCAGTCCAAAGACGGGTCGGCGAAACCTGCGGCTGCTGGGGGTGCGGCCACAAGTTAAGCTGGTGAGAAGCGTAGCGCACAGCGAACGGCCACAGAAAATGGGGTGCACCGGCATGGATAATGGAGGTGCGAGCCACCTCCATGACCAAACCGATGCGTCGCTCAGCGACCCCATTTTGCTGTGGGGAGTCCGGTAGGGTGAACGTCTGGGTGATGCCCTCCGCACGACAAAAGCGACCAAGGACACCTGAGGCAAACTCGCCACCACGGTCGGAGTGAAGGCGCAAGACAGGGAGACCTCGGTGGACACGGGCAGAGACAAGCCAGGGGATGAGTGCGGCAGGCACGTCGGCCTTCCGCTCCAGGGGAAAGACCGAGGTGTAGCGAGTGAAGTCGTCGACAAGCACAAGGAAGTAGCGCTCTCGACGCGGCCCAGGGACGGGGGCGGGGCCCCAGATGTCCATGTGCAGGGTCTGCAGCGGCGCGGCGGTAGGGGGAAACGAGGAGGAGTGAGGGGCACGGCGAAGCCGACCCTCGACGCAAGGCGTGCAAGGTGGGGCGGGGGAGGAGGGAAAAGCGGGGAGAGAACGAGGGAGACCAAGGACGAGACCGTGCTGGGACATGTGACGCAGACGCGGGAGCGCAGGGTGACCTATGCGGTGGTGCCAAAGGAGAGTCGGGTGAGTGAGGGAGCGACAGGAGCAGGCAGCAACAACCTGGGTAGACGCAACCACCTGAGGGGGCGCCCCAGCCGGGGGGGTCACGGTGTCCAGAGTGAACAGGCAGGTGCGGCGGGGCCAGGCAGGCGCGGCGGGGCAGGCAGGGCGCGACGGGGCTAGGCAGGGCGCGACAGGGCTCGGGCAGGGCGCGACGAGGCCGGGCAGGGCGCGACGGGGCCGGGCAGGGCGCGACGGGGCCGAGCGGGCGCGACGGGGCCAAAAGGCTTGACGGGGCCCAGGAGGGGCGCGACGGGGCACAGGAGGGGCGCGACTGGGCTAGGGGCGCGACGGGGCCTAGGGGGGTCGCGACGGGGCTAGGGGGTCGCGACGAGGCTAGGGGGGTCGCGACGGGGCTAGGGGGTCGCGACGGGGCTAGGGGGTCGCGACGGGGCCAAAAGGCGTGACGGGGCCCAGGAGGGGCGCGACGGGGCTAGGGGGTCGCGACGGAGCTAGGAGGTCGCGACGGGGCTAGGCGGGGGGCGCGACGGGGCCCAGGGGGAAGCGGCGGGGCCTAGCTAGGGTACGGGCGGAAGCGGTAGGTGGGGGATCCTAACCTACGCGTGATACCATGTTAGAATGAGAACTGAATGATAAGTAGGGGGAGAGTACAGGTGAATATACCTAAGTGTTGTACCCTCTAAGAGGTGCCCTTATACAGTCTATACAAACATAGTAGATACACATGTTTGACAAACCGTCCATAGAGAGGTCTTTGTTCCCATCAATGTCTCCACCTCTGTCCCCATCTATGTCTCCACCTCTGTCCCCATCTATGTCTCTACCCCTGTCCCCATCCATGTCTGCAACCCTGTCCCCATCTCTGTCTCCACCTCTGTCCCCATCTATGTCTCCATGTCTTTCCACATGTATGTCTCCACCTCAGTTCCCATCTATGTCTCCACCTCAGTCCCCATCTATGTCTCCACCTCTGTCCCCATCTATGTCTCCACCTCTTTCCACATGTATGTCTCCACCTCTGTCCCCATCTATGTCTCCATCTCTTTCAACATCTATGTCTCCACCTCTGTCCCCATCTATGTCTCCATGTCTTTCCACATGTATGTCTCCACCTCAGTTCCCATCTATGTCTCCACCTCAGTCCCCATCTCTGTCTCCAGTGCATGAAAAAGCGACAGAAGTCTATCTGAACACAGTTTATGGGGCATCCCTACGCTGGAGCATCAAACGCATATGATGCACGGCACTCGCAGGCAGATCCTCACCACACATCCACACACGTGCGCAACCAACAAACACAACTGCCACAATTTATGAAGCAGCGGCCACACTCCCACCCTCAAACCAATGTCCCATTCTTACCGCCGCGCATGGCAGCGAGCTGGACTCTGAGGCTGCCTGCAAAGGAGGAAGGTGAAAGCAAAGGGGAACTGGTTGGTGTAGAGGGGGGTCAGATGGGGATTGTAGACATGGTGGGATGCAGCAAGAGGGAAAACAGCACAGGAAGGGATGCAGCACAAGAGGTAGTGCAGCACGGGAGGGGGTGCGGCGTAAGCGGGGGTGCAGCGCGGGAGGGGCAAGGTGTGAGCGGGGGTGCAGCGCGGGAGGGCGCGCGGCGTGAGCGGGGCTGCAGCGCGCGAGGGGGCGCGGCGTGAGCGCGGGTGCATCGCGCGAGGGGGCGCGGCGTGAGCGGGGGTGCAGCGCGCGAGGGGGCGCGGCGTGAGCGCGGGCGCAGCGCGCGAGGGGGCGCGGTGCCACCGCGGGCGCAGCGCGCGAGGGGGCGCGGCGCCACCGCGGGTGCAGCATCATGGGGGGGGGAATAAATAGGGTTAGGAGCTATGGCGCGGATCACGAGAAGCTCCCTGCTTGGTGCGCGCGACGAGGCGGGGATAGACGAGTGGGGGGGGATACTAGGGTGGCGTGAGGTGCACTTCGCTTTTTCGTGGTGCACTTCGCTTTTTCGTGGTGCACTTCGCTTTTTCGTGGTGCACTTCGCTTGTGTGGTGCACTTCGCTTTTTCGTGGTGTGACACGTGCTTTACTGCCTAGAATCACTCACTCTATTTGTGTCGTGGCTTGTGCTGGGGTGGAGATGGTTTTGGGGCTGGAGGGCCCATTCACTAGATGTCCCTGTTTCCCTATCCCTAGGTCTCTGTCGCCTCGCTCCTCTGGGTGCTTAGTTTTGTTTGTTCCTGATTTCATCTTGAATACGAACTCACTCATCTTCTTTGCGTACTTGCGTGTTTGCGAGCGGCTCTCAGGCGTGGTGGGGTCGGGGCATCGCCAGCCGTCCACGCTTGTGATGTCGCCTGCGTTGGCGAGGTCGTTTCTTCCGTTGCGAGGACCCTTGCTTTCGCGTGGGCTGTGCATGGGTTTTTTGCGATGGTGCACCCCCACTATTTTTGCTTTAAAGCCCGATTTTAGAATGGTTTGCTATCAAGTTCAGGAATCATGAACTTGTTTTCGTCCAATAGAGGGTAACGTAGTAAATGCCGTTTGAATGTCGCAACTCTCAGGAACAAGGGCTTGCGAATGCCGCTCAAAAGGACAAACCTGAAATTACTGTTCATCTCAGTATTCTTGATTTTCACCTGCGACCATTCTGAACGCATTTTTGTGGGGGTCTCGCGTCACTGCTCGTTCCCCCCCTTCCCCCGCCCCCCACACACTGTTCATGCACTGTTGAACTCGGTTCTTGCCGATGAAATTCCGTGCTGCGATTACGGTTCTGCTATTTCGCCAAATTCTGAATTCGTCAGGGGAACTTTGCCGAAATTACATTCGCCCAGTTTCTTTGGCACTGTTTTCATGCCCAGTATTCATGGTTTTTAACCATTCTAGACTCAGGCTTTAACCTAGAATATGAAGCTGGCTCATTGCCGTTTCTATTCATTTAGACTTTTTCCTTCGTACTTGTTACGTATATGTGAGACTAGAACTGCCATGCCAAACCCCCTTATTGAACCACGCCCTTGGCGAATCCCTGGTGTGGAGTGGACCAGCAGCCACTGCACGAGTCAACCCTCGTGCCAGCTGACGACCTATGGTGCTGGTTGGAAATCGAGTCTGATTTTCCGGGGTGTTTGATTTCCTAAACCTCGATTTATTCCTGTTTTCTTGCAGGTCTCGCCTGCGTGCAGCCGATTCTCGATCTGTTTCCAATTAGAGTACTCGCTCCTTTGTCGCTCCATATTTCCAGCGAAGTGAGAGTACTCCTACTGGAGTCTAGTGATGTACTCCATGTCGTATTTGTCGGGCATTTCGTCCCTTACCTCGCAAACGAAGCGTGGACCTGTGAACAACCCTCGACCCGAGAAGGAAAACGTTTTCCAGCCCCGACCTACCAACTCCACCCACCCCAACCCCCCTCCAACTCCAGTTCGTACCGTACCGTACCATACCATGCACCTCCCCGCCCCCCCATCCCCAGACCCAGCTCCCCCCCACCCCTGCTCATTCCACGGCACCTCACTTCCTTTTCCCCATCTTCTCACTCGCCTCGCCTTCTCTTGTTGCATTCCACCAGCACAGCAGCACCACCACCATTGACGCGAACTCTTGTCTTCACGTGGCTGGATTTCGGTTTTACGGCTCATCACCACATGCCTCAAGCCGAAGGTTATGTAGGAGGAGAATGGCGTTTCTTGATGCCCGTCGTGTCGTTAGTTACTGCCGCCAAGCTCACCCAAGCCGTTAGAACACCTCCCTCGCACAAATACAGTAGTATTTTCGGCAACTTCTTTACAACTGTGATCGCCCTACTTGTTGCTGTTCAAGATTCACGGCGGAATATCACAGACAGGCACAGATTTACGAGCTTCCGTGTTGCTACAAGTTTTCGTGCTGAATCTCGTACATGCTGCACAGATTTATGAGCGATGTGTGTACGTAGCAGCAGTTGCTCGCTGAAGTAGCTAATCTATACCAGAATATGCACATCATTTTTACGTAAAGCCAGTTCACTAGGCACCTGTCCCGACTCCCGCCGACTCGACAGCGCAGCCTCGCGTCCGTTCCAGCCGCGTAGCCGGTAGCAAGCGTCCCCCGCGTCAATCACGTAACCGGTATCAAACGCCGTTGTTTTAACCACCACCGCTCCTCGCCTCGTCCCTGTACCAATCTCCACACGATGACGTCATCCGTGTCGTCACGCACGCCGCCACGGGCGCGTCTCGTCCCGACGTTCTGCACTCTCCTGCTTCTCGCGGCGCTGTTCTCGCCTTGCACCGTCGTCGCCGCCGCACGTGACGCTGCGCCTGGCGCCGCACTTGACGCCGCACATGGCGCTTCTGGCCGCCGCCGCGTGCTTCAGGAACCGCTGGCGTCGGACGAGATCGCATCGGCAGAGAGTGAGTTACCGAGGAGCGCGAGTGGGGTATAATGGAGTCTGGATTTGACGCGCCTCAAAACTAGTCTATCGGGAACCGCCGGCGTCGGATGAGATCGTATCGGCTGAGAATGAGTTACCGAGGAGCGCGAGTTGAGTGTTTAGGGCGCAGGGCGTCCACGGAAGGGAGCGAGGTGACTTTTGAGTCGACTCAAGCGAGTGAGTTGCCGAGGAGCGCGAGTTGAGTGTTGAGGGCGCACGGCGTGCACGGAAGGGAGCGGGCGAATGAGGGCGGAGAGACAGGGTGAGCATCGCAAGCTCATCGTAAGGCCGTTCAAGGAGATGGAGGAGAGCCTTACTGTTACATGGATGGCAGATGGTACATGGGTCAACGGGCTGTCACTGTTACACGGTACAACCCCGTTCAAGCTCACTGAGGAGAGCGGGTTTAGTAGAGGGTGTACTAGCGGCGAGCGACCTTCCACGATTTTTTTTGTCACATGGATGGCAGATGGGTCAACGGGCCTTTCCTCCCTCATGCGCGCGTGCGTGTGTGCATCCCTCTCTCCCTTCCTCTTGCTCCCCTTCTCCGCCTCTACCCTCGGCCACCGACGTCGTGGTCTTTATGCGAGCCATGGGGAACCACCCCGCCTTCTCCCTCGCGGGTACATTGTTCAGCCACCCCCCCTCTCTCGTGCGCGTGCGCGTGCGTCCCGCTCCCCCTCTCCCCCCCTTTCAACCCCCCCTCCGCCCCCGCCTAGCCACCGCCCTCATAGCGTACATGCAAGCAGTGGGGAACCGCGACCCCGCCTTCTCTCTCGCCGGTGGGCTGTCCAACGGCCCATCATCACCCAACCGTCGTCCTTCTCTTTCTCTCCCATCGCCCTCCCCCTTACCCCCAGCCGCCGCCCTGCTGGCGTTTATGCGAGCCATGGGGAGCCACCCCGCCTTCTCCCTCGCCGGTAGATGGTCCAACGGCCCCTCGGCCAATCGCCAGGGGCAGCTGTCGCAGCCCTGTGCTGACACGTGGCAGTTTGTGACGTGTGACTCGTCGGGCCGTGTCGTTACCATGTGAGTGGTGGTGCCGCGAGTGGGTGCAGCGGGTTGCAGTGGGGTGCAGTGGGGTGCAGTGGGGTGCAGTGGGGTGCAGTGGGGTGCAGTGAGGGGATTCAGGGTGAAGTCGGGTGAAGTGTGGTGCAATGAAGTGTTGTGCGGTGAAATAGGGTGATGTGAGTGTGACTTGAAAAGCAAGCGAGGCGAAGTGTCCTGGCTTGTCCCTATGCCTGCCACCTTCCACGCCTCTTGCTCTCACTCTCCCCCTTGCTCCTCCTTGCTCCTCCTTGCTGGTTACCGTTTCCCCCTCCCCTCACCCCGCCACCCCCCCCTCCCCCCCCCGCCTCCCTAATTCGTTTCTGAGACGGTCCAAATGCCCTCGTCTCCGCCTTCTTTCTCCGCCGCCCCATCTTCCAACGCCCGCGCCCTCACCCATGCCATGCCATGCCATGCCATGCATGCAGCGGCATGAGCAAGCATCCCCCTGCTGGCCTCCCTTAGCGCGTCATGGGCTAGGGGCGCCACCAGGCACAGCAGCAACCCGTCCTTCACGCCCCCCCCTTTTCAACCCCCTCTCACTGCTATGCCATTCCGTCCAGACTGCCCTCTGCCTCCCGTTTACTGTACTAGTGACATAAGCAACCCCCTGCTGGCTTCTCTCAACGTGTCGTCATGACTCATGGGCCAGGGGCGCCACCAGGGAGCTTGTGGCGCAGCAGCTACCCCCCTCGCACCCCCCTCGCACCCCCCTCTCAACGCTATTGCGCCCACACTCCCCCCCCCCCTCTCTCTCTCTCTCCCCTTACCAGCGACATGAGCAACCCCCTGCTAGCCTCCCTCAACGTGTCATGGGCTAAGGGCGCCACTAGGGAGTTTGTGGCGCAGCAGCTAACCGCCCAGAGCGCATCCCCAGAGGCTGTAGCAGCGGCTGTAGTGACGGGGCCGCTGAGGGGGGAGATCCCGTGGGGTAAAATGACAGCGCTGCAGCGATTGGAGCGGGTCGATTTGAGCGGGAATGAGGTGACTGGCGCTGCTGTGTCCGCTGCTGCTGCCCTGCTTCCCGGGCTCAAGCACCTGTGAGTCTTTAGGTGGTGACGGGGTTGCTCAAGGGGGGGGATATTGGGGGAGCATGAAGGCTCTGCAGCGATAAAAGCAGGTCGACCTGAGCGGGAATGAGGTGGCTGGCGCTGCTGTGTCTGCTGCTGGCGTGCTGCTGCCTCAGGTGCAGCGCCTGTAAGACTTGAACACATGTGAATGAGTGGCACGCCGTGGTGTGAGGGCTGCTGAGGAGGGAGGGAATGTGCGGCACTGTTGTCCATGCTGGTGCTGCTGCCCTGCTGCCTCGCCTCAAACACCTGTACGACTTGAAGGCATGTGTGTGAGTGCCAGTCCTGCCCGGCCCCTTAGCGCACCTCAGGAGGTGGTTGGGTAGGCGGGGGTCGTCGATGTCGGGGCAGTCGGCACAGTCACAGACGCGCGGGGTGGAGTGGGGGAGCCCGAGGCAGAAGGCCACAACAGTGGAGAAGTGGCCAAGGTTGAGGCGAAGGGAAGACGAGAAGGGGAGGGCGTGCAGCCTATCGCCTGCCCCCGGACCCATGAGCGAAAGCAGGCGCTGCGTGTGCCCCTGGAGTGGGTTCAGCGGCATGCGGCGTGCCTGGTCCAGCAGGGGCGTGTCCCTCCGCCTGCACCTGCAGAGCCAGGGCCCGCTGGAGCTTGGGCGGGTCTGGGGAGGTGCGCTCCAGGCGCTGAAGGTCCGCAGCAGAAGGCGGCATGGTGTTCTCAAGAATGGCGAGGCGGCGGGGAAAGGGCGTGGGGCCAGCGGGATCGGGAGTGAACTGCCCCAGTAGTTCGGAGAGGGCACTGGGCAGCGACGAGAGGCTGCCGAGAAGATGGGCGGTAGGGGCGACAGAGGTCAGGTAGCTCGGCGCTGCCCCGGCCGGGGTTGTTAATGCCGAGCCCCTCGAGGGTGGTCGGTAGAGACGCCTGGTCCCACACCCGCTTGCGCTCCTCGGGGCAGCGGCAGACGACTTGCCGACCGGGTCGTATGAAGCAGGCCTTCCCCCCCAGCATCCCACTCGTCCAGGGGAAGCAGCTCCAGCGGCGTAGAGCGCAGCAGGTAGGCCACACGGCGGGAAACACAGCGGGTGAGAAGCTGCAGGGACAGCTGTGGGTCCAAATCCGCAAGCAGCGGCAGCGGAGCAGCGGCGGATGAGAGGCGAGCGCGGAGGACGGCGGAGCAGGCGGCTGGCAGGCCAATGGGGCTCCCCAGAGCCTTGAGCCCCGCTGTGCTCATGGTGATGCCGTCGGGAAGCTCCGTGTCAGGTGTAAGGGCGGGACCCCACGGGTTGCACTTCGCGAGGTTATGGCTGAGCCCACACCCCGCGATGGCGGCGGTGAGATGGCCGAAGGAGGCTGAGCAGGCAGCTGGCGGGCCCAGCAGCGTGACGTCATCGGCGTAGGCAAGCACGACGACGTCGAGGAATGCGGCAACTGTGGCGGCGAGGCTGGGTTGAAGGCCAGCTGTGACGAGAAGGGGGCCCATGGGGTCGCCTTGCTGGACGGCGCGCGCGCTGGTCAGGGGCTCCGCCCCGAAACCATGGTCGATGCAGAGAGTGGAGGGCGCGCCGTAGGAATGTCGCACAAAGGGGATGAAGAACTCGAGTTCCGTGCCTCGGACCGCCGTGTGTTCAATCGCTTTGAACGCGCTGGTGACGTCTATTTGCAGCGTGATGTGGCCCGTGTGCGCATCGAGGTAGGCGCGGGTGACATGGATGATGACCTCCGCGCCCCCAGGGATGGCCACGCCGAACTGGATTGGCGCGAAATGGAGGTGGGCGGGGGCACCAGCGAGGAACAGGGCAGCCTTGGCGACGATGCGGCGCCGGCACTCTCCAACGGCAATTGGGCGGGTGCCACCGCCAGGCTTAGGAATGGCAAGCAGCCTTGACGCTGTAAGGAGGGAGGTCGCTTCGGGACCCAGCTTGCCGGCGAGGGCCGTGTTGGTGAGCGCGTGGAGGTGTTGGCAGATGTCGGTATTTGTTAAGGCCGCGTCGCGCAAGAGCTTGAAGGTGGTCCCCGAGGGACCCGCACCTACGCCATTTGGAAGTTGGGACAGGAGGCGACGGAAGTGCTTGGCGCTGATAGGAGGATTGCGTTCAAGGGTGTGTGAGAGGACCCAGTCAGGGATGGCGAGGGAGGCGAGTGGGTGGCGAGAGTGGAGAGCAGCGAGGGTCTCTGCTGAGGAGGGGCTGACAGGTGTTGCTTCAAGGGCCTGGAGAGCCTTGCCAAGATTCCCACGCTTGGCCAGGCCTTCAGCCGGAGCGATCAGGTCTATACGGTCTGCAGCATGGCGCGGGGGATGAGGGAGATCCACGGCAGCCGCAGCTTCGGCGTATAGGTCCGACCAGGATCCACGGTGGAAATCCTCCAGACGCTTCTGACGGCGACCCAATCAGGTTTGCGGGTCGATCCAACGCGGAGGGTCAGACGCGGCAGGAAAAACAGGAGCCTCCACGCTGGCGGAGAATCAGGGTCGTCCGCCAATCGTAGGAGGGGGGTGAGGAGACATGCGGCAAACTCATCGCGGATGTGGTGGGGTGCGTGGCGAGCCAGGGATGGCTGGCGACTGTCGCGTAAGACGTGCAGGTCCCATCCCAAAATTTCGTCGAACAATTCATCTTGCGCCACGAGTGCTGCTGGGGATTGGAAATCTGCGTCAGGGGCTGGGCGCTGGTTCGGGGCGGCTCGGCGAAAGTTGGAACGGGATGTGGAGACACCCCCACTCTCCTCGCCAATGTCCTCCCCAGTCCTTGAATCAGAAACCCCATCAGTCGAGAGGGTATAACTGGAGTCACCCTCCACTTCCTCTCCAGCAGTCTCTGCCCCCGTCTCCACCCTTAGCGCCGTACCCACTGCAGTCTCCAAACCATCCAGCCAGCCACCGGCCGTCGAACGGCCTGGACATAGCTTCCCGACACGCCGACACTCCCGGCTCTCCCACCGCGTCCACGTCGACTTCGGCCACGGTCGCCGAGGGGCGTTCTACCTCCAGCGCGGAACTGGGCCTGCATTTGAGGGCTCCACCACCCTGCGCCCGCAGACGACGCCGTCCTCTCAGAATCGGGGGTGCGGGCGCTCGCCGGATCAGGTGTATGGTCGGCACCGGACGTCGGACCGCTGGCCGCCGTCCTCCCGCGAGCACCGGCAGGAGTCGCGGACTCCCGAGTGGCGGAGCCCGCTGCGACATGAGGAGCAGCTGCCCGACGCGGACCCATCAGCGACGCCCGCAGAGGCAGGGGTCGACCGCGCGGTCCTCTGACGTGGAGGAGATGGTCGAGCGGGTTCTCGCCCGCGTCCCCTCCGTGACTTGGGGGATCACGGAGAGGACAGCGGCACCGCTGGCGGCCCCAGCAGCAGGGATCCCAGCCCCGGGAACGAACGGGGCGGCAGCTGGCGGACTGTTGCCGCTGTGGCCGTCGCAGGCGGTGGCGCAGCTGGCCGACGTGTTGCGTTTTCTGGATGCGGTGCGGAGCTGCATTGATTGGCTGACGACGATCCTGGAGGTGGCGGGATATGCGCTCCTGTGTCCCTGGCAGGAGGGGCTGATGACGGAGACCCAGCAGCGGGACTGCGAGGCGCAGGCAGTGGTGGTGCGAGCGGCATTGGCCGTGTCATGGCCCGGGCTCGCCCCGGGAAACGCGCTGCCACCTCGGGGCGAAGCGGTGGTGACGGATTTAGCGGGGAAGTTGCTGGGGATGCGAGCTGCAGAAGTCGTTGACGGCTGCGTGTCAGTACTCCGCGAAGCAGAGCGGACTGTCTTCCTCCTGCTCGGGGAAATCCGTCAGCAGGGGTAGCGTGCGGGCGGCGGCGTGCGTAGCGAAGGGCGGTAGGCGTCAGCCCGCCCGTTAGATCAGGAGGTGGTGTGAAGCTCATTGGGCCAGTCGGCACCCTCCCGTGCGCGCCCCCATGTTTGTTGTTGGCGAGGTATTCCCGGTGATCTGCATGAAGCGCTTGACTTCTTTCCCCTAGGTACCTTGCTGTCCCCTAACGCGCGGCCTAAGGCCGCGCCGCGAGCGGCGGCCGGCGGCGGCAGCAGGCGCGAGCAACCACGAAAGGTGAAGGGATGAGTGAAGCGAAAGTGAACAAGGAAGAGAGGGCGCCACGGGCTTGAATGGTTCGCCAGAGGAGGCTCAGGCTCAGGTGCGATCGTTCCTTCTCCCCGCCACCAACGGTGAAGCAATGAGTGAAGAGAGCGTGACATCCCACCCCCACTCCCCCTCTCCCCCCCTCTGCCCCCCGCCCCCTTCCCCCTCCCCCCCCGCACCCAGCAACCTCACGTTCAACCTGATCGACTCACTGCCGGCAGCGGTCACGGCAATGACTGCCCTCGAGTCACTGTGAGTGCCTGTGCATGTGTGCATGTGTGCATGTGTGCGTGCGTGCTGTGCGGGCCGCATTGCTCCTCGTTGTCTGAATCGCACGCCTTCATGAGCTGCTGCCTTCTCCCTCTCGCTCCGCCCAACCCATACACCCTCGCCTCAGCCCAGCCCAGCCCCAACCCAACTCAACCACCCTCGCCTCAGCCCAGCCCAGCCCAGCCAGCCCAACCCAACTCAACCACCCTCGCCTCAGCCCAGCCCAGCCCAGCCCAGCCCAACTTAACCACACTCGTCTCAGCCCAGCCCAGCCCAGCCCAGCCAAGCCCAGCCCAGCCCAACGCAACCACCCTCGCCTCAGCCCAGCCCAGCCCAACTCAACCACCCTCGCCTCAGCCCAGCCCAGCCCAACTCAACCACCCTCGCCTCAGCCCAGCCCAGCCCAGCCCAGCCCAGCCCAGCCCAACTCAACCACCCTCGCCTCAGCCGAGCCCAGCCCAGCCCAACTCAACCACCCTCGCCTCAGCCCAGCCCAGCCCAACTCAACCACCCTCGCCTCAGCCCGGCCCAGCTCAGCCCAGCCCAGCCCAACTCAACCACCCTCGCCTCAGCCCGGCCCAGCCCAGCCCAGCCCAGCCCAGCCCAGCCCAACTCAACCACCCTCGCCTCAGCCCAGCCCAGCCCAACTCAACCACCCTCGCCTCAGCCCAGCCCAGCCCAGCCCAGCCCAGCCCAGCCCAGCCCAGCCCAACTCAACCACCCTCGCCTCAGCCCAGCCCAGCCCAGCCCAGCCCAGCCCAGCCCAACTCAACCACCCTCGCCTCAGCCCAGCCCAGCCCAGCCCGGCTCAGCACGGCCCAGCCAATGATCCTTGCAGCCAAGTGGTCTCCGCCGTTGTCATTGTCCATGCAGCATCCCATGCCCCGTACACCATGCCCCGTACACCATGCCCCATGCCCCGTACACCATGCCCCATGCCCCGTACACCATGCCCCATGCCCCGCACACCATGCCCCATGCCCCGTACACCATGCCCCATGCCCCGTACACCATGCGCCATGCCCCGTACACCATACCCCATGCCCCGTACACCATACCCCATGCCTATCCCCGTACCCCAAGCCAACCGCCGTACATCATGCCAATCTCCCCCCCCCACACACGGACTCACACAGCTGCAATCATCTTGGCATGAAGCGCATGAGCGACCCACTTCCCTTGGGGGGCTCTGCTCTGCTCTCCCACGCCTCTCCTTCCCCATTCCCACCCCCGCCCCCCCTGCGCCCCACTCCCCCCATGCGCCCCACTCCCCCCATGCGCCCCACTCCCCCCATGCGCCCCACTCCCCCCATGCGCCCCACTCCCCCCATGCGCCCCACTCCCCCCATGTGCCCCACTCCCCCCATGCGCCCCACTCCCCCCATGCGCCCCACTCCCCCCATGCGCCCCACTCCCCCCATGCGCCCCAATCCCCCCATGCGCCCCACTCCCCCCATGCGCCCCACGCCCCCCATGCGCCCCACGCCCCCCATGCGCCACACGCCCCCCACACCTGCAGACACCTTGGCATGAACCACATCACCGGCCCGCTGCCCTTGGGGCCAATGTCCCTTTTCCTCCCCCTCCCCCCCCCGTACCACCAGCCATCGTGACGTGAACGTCATCTGTGCTTCTCTCCCCGTGGGGGGTTTAGCGCCATGTGACCATGTCCCACACGCCCCCATACGCCATCCCCCTATGCCCCCCTCCCCCCCTCCCACCAGCCAGCTTGACATGAACGTCATCAGTGGGTCGCTCCCCTCAGGGCTCTCTGCGCCATGTCCTTAACACTCCTCCCCATGCGCACCCTGCCCCCCTTCTCCCCCTCCCCCCCCCCTTAACCACCTGCAGCCATCTTGACATGAACGCCATCAGTGGCTCGCTCCCCTCGGGGCTCTCTGCCCTCACCCGCCTCTCCTCACTCGTTCTCGGGCAGAACCGGATAGTTGGCCAGCTGCCCGAAGAGATCGGCGCGCTCAGCAGCCTTGTGAACCTGTGAGTTGACTTGAGGTGACTTGAGTTGACTTGGATTTGCGTGTCTGTAAGTTGACTTGGGTTGCCTTGACTCAGTTTGACTTGCTTGCGTTGCTGACTCTCACAGTTGTCCTTTATTCACTCTCACTCTCACTCACTCACTCACTCACTCTCTCACTCACTCACTCACTCACTCACTCACTCTCTCACTCACTCACTCTCTCACCCGATCCTCCCGCTGCCGCCCATCAGCGACTTGGGGGAGAATTACTTTCATGGAGTGCCTCCTGACTCCTGGAGCAACCTCACCAACCTGCATCTCCTGTGAGCCAACCTGCACCCCCTGTGAGCCATCCTGCACCTCCTGTGAGCCAACCTGCACCTCCTGTGAGCCAACATGCACCTCCTGTGAGCCAACCTGCATCTCCTGTGAGCCAACCTGCATCTCCTGTGAGCCAACCTGCATCTCCTGTGAGCCAACCTGCATCTCCTGTGAGCCAACTTGCATCTCCTGTGAGCCAACCTGCATCTCCTGTGAGCCCCGCTTATTGCTGTAACTCCCCCACACACTCTGCTGTAACTCCCCCACACACTCTGCTGTAACTCCCCACACACTCTGCAGTTAGCCCCCCACACACTCTGCAGTTAGCCCCCCCCACACACTGTTGTAAGTCCCCCTGCTAAGAAAGGGCCGTCCTCTGTCCCCCTACCCATGAGAGCATGATCTCCCTCCGTGGGTCTTTGAGAATTCTCAAAAACTCTTTTCAGCTGCCTTGCAGCTTACATTCCCCTCCCCTCCCCTCCCCTCCCCTCCCCTCCCCTCCCTTCCTCTATCCTCTCCTCGCTTCCCCTTCCCTCCCCTCCCTTCCCCTCCCTTCCCTCTCCTCCCTTCCCCTCCCTTCCCTCTCCTCCCTTCCCCTCCCTCCCCTCCTCTCCCTTCCCCTCCCCTCCCTTCCCCTCCCCTTCTCCCCAGGACCTTGTATCGCCGGCATCTGACTGCCGCCCTTCCCCCCTCCTGGCCCTCCCTCACTTTGTGCGATGCCTTGACTCCCCTGTTGCAACCGCACCTCCTCTCCTCCCCTCCCCTCCCCTCTCCTTCCCTCCCCTCCCCTCCCCCCTCTCGCTCTTTCCCAGGTCCTTATACCGTCTGCATTTGACCACCACCTCCCGCCCTCCTGGTCTTCCCTCTCCTCCGTTAAACCCCCCTCCAACCCCCCTTATTCCCCACGTCTCCCCTTTCCCCAGGTCCTTATACCGTCTGCATCTGACCGCCGCCTTCCCCCCCTCCTGGTCCGCCCTCGCGTCCCTCTCGTCCTTCACCTTCTCCTCTTCTGCTGCCTCGGGCCCCTTCCCCGCCTTTCTCACTCAACTGCGGAGCATCGAACGCATGTAAGCATTGGGAGTATCATTGATTGTCATCCTATAGGTTCTGAGGTGCCTCAGAGAGCTGCACCCGTCGCGTCCCTCTCGTCGTCCTCCTCCTCCTCTGCTGCTGCCTCGGGCCCCTTCCCCACCTAACTCACTCAACTCCCAAGCATTGAAACAATGTAAGGAGTGTGGCGGGTAGTGTGTGAGTGGGGGTGTGTGCGGGGGGAGTGTGTGGGAGGGGACTGTGTGAGGGGGGAGTGTCCAAGGGTAGAGCGTGCAAGGGGGGAATGTGTGAAGGGGGTATGTGTGTGTGGGGCCTCCTCACCCTCTGCCCTCTGCCCTCTGCCCTCTGGACTCTGCCCCAAGGCCATACCACTTCCACTCCATGCCCACCCGATGCCCCCCACGTCCCACCCTAAGCTCCTCCCATCGCTCCCCATGCCCCCCAGCTACCTGCACTCCAACCGCCTCTACGGCCCGCTGCCCTCGGACCTCTGGCGCCCTGCCACCCTCACCTACGTGTGAGTGCCGTCACATGGCATGCCACGCCATGCCATGCCATGCCATGCCATGCGACCCTAAGCCTGTCATGGCTTGTCATGTGGCCAGCCGTTACATCCCTCTGTCCTTTTGCAAGTCATTCGTTATGGATCTCTGCCCCCTGCCCTCTGCCCCCTGCCCTCTGCCCCCTGCCCTCTGCCCCCAGCCCTCTGCCCCCTGCCCTCTGCCTCCTGCCCTCTAGCCCGTGACATGTGGCGCCCTTTCACTCGTGCCCCTGTGCTAGCAACGTCATCACGTGCCATGCCATGCCATGCTGCAGCGCTTCACTGCCCCACTGCCTCTTCCCTTCGCCTCCACTCCTTTTGCTGTCCTCTTCCCCCTCCCCATGCCCTCTTCCCCCTCCCCATGCCCTCTTCCCCCTCCCCATTCCCTCTTCCCCCTCCCCATGCCCTCTTCCCCCTCCCCATGCCTCTCGTCCCCCTTCCCATGCCCTCTTCCCCCTTCCCATGCCCTCTTCCCCCTCCCCATGCCCTCTTCCCCCTCCCCATGCCCTCTTCCCCCTCCCCATGCCCTCTTCTCCCTCCCCATTCCCCCTCTCTCCCCCTCCCCTCCCCTCCCTTTCCCCCCACACTCCTCTCCCTCTCCCCTCCCCCCCCCTCGCTCCCCCTCCCCTGGCAACAGCGACCTCTCAAACAACTTCTTCAATGGGTCTGTACCTCTGCCTCCACCTGAACGCCAGGCGGATTTCAGGTGATCTTCTGTCCCTCCCAGGTGCCTTTCTGTTGCTCCCAGGTGCGTGTGACTACCAAGTGACACCCAGTTTGTCTCAGGTGACGTTGCCAACCAGATATTTCCCGACCCTATGTCTTGCCCCCATCTTTGCCCTCTCCCATTCAACCCTCGCTCGCCCATTCAATTTAACCCTCCCTTCCCCATTTAACCCTCCCTTATCCAAACGTCCCCCATTCAACCCTCCCCAATTCTACCCTCTTCAATTCTACCCTCCCCCATTCTACTCTCTCCAATTCTACCCTTCCCCATTCTACCCTCCCTAATTCTACCCTCCTCAATTCTACCCTCCCCCATTCTACCCTCCCCCATTCTACCCTCCTCCATTCTACCCTCCCCAATTCTACCCTCCCCCATTCTACCCTCCCCAATTCTACCCTGCCCCATTCTACCCTCCCCCATTCTACCCTCCCACATTCTACCCTCCCCCATTCTACCCTCCCCCATTCTACCCTCTTCCATTCTACCCTTTTCCATTCGACGCTCCCCCATGCTACCCCTCGCCCTCACCTTAGCAGCTACTACTTCAACTGCTTCAGTACTGCACTGCACCCCCCTCTACTGCTCTTCACTATTCCTCTTCCCACCCATTCCACCCTTCCCTCCAACCCTCACCCTGTCCTTTCCAGGTACTTCTTTAACTGCTTCACTACTGCAACCCCCTCCCCAGCACCCATGGCCGCTGCTGATGCTGCTGCTGCCGAGGGCCAATTGGATGCTGCCACCTGTGCTGACTTCTATTCCTACCGTCAGGGGCTTGATGCTGCTGCTGCTGCTGGTAAGTCTATGCTGTTGCTTGATGCTTGCTGCTGCTGCTGCTGCTGCTGCTGCTGCTGCTGCTGCTGCTGCTGCTGCTGCTGCTGCTGCTGCTGCTGCTGCTGCTACTTCTTGGCTGCAGCAGCACGATGGATTGCTCTCCCTTGCCTTGCGTGTGTCACTCCCCACACCACACCAGGTACACAGGAGCCCTCCTCTTCCACCTCCACCTGGGGCACGTCCTTCTTCACTGTGTGTCTTCTCGTCGCCCTCGTCGTTCTCGTGGTAGCCGTTTCTCATCTGCACCCTCCCTTCCCTTTCTCCCCTCCCTCCCCACACCAGGCACCCAGCAACCCACCTCCTCCACTTCCTCTCCCTCAGCATGGGGTTCGTCCCTCTTCACTGTCTGTCTGCTCATTGCCCTCATGGTTCTTCTTGCCACTGTCTGTCTCATCCGCATCCCTGCCTTGCTCCCCTCCCCCCCCATACCAGGCACCCAGCAACCCTCCTCTTCCACCTCCACCTGGGGCTCGTCCTTCTTCACTGTCTGTCTGCTCATCGCCCTCATGGTGCTCGTGGTAGCCGTGGCTTTCACCTGCCGCCGCTCCAGGCAGCACCGTGGGCAGCAGCAGAGTGAGGAGCAGCAGCAGCGGCAGATGCGGGTGGAGGTGGATGTGGATGCGGATGCAGCACCTGCAGAGGGGGCTCCAGCCAACACAGTAAGTTTTACGAAGGCTAGCTATGCTGTAAAGTGTTACATTGAGTGGGTGCATCCTGCAGCAGCGCGGGCAGCAGCAGAATAAGGCACAACAGCAGCAGCAGCAGCAGATGCGGATGGATGTGGATTCAGTGCCTGCTGGGGGGGCTGCTGCCAATGGAGTAAGTTTTCCTGATTGCAATGCAGCAAGTGTTATTGATTGCAATGCAGCAAGTGTTATTGATTGCAATGCAGCAAGTGTTATTGATTGTAATGCAGCAAGTGTTATTGATTGCAATGCAGCAAGTGTTATTGATTGCAATGCAGCAAGTGTTATTGATTGCAATGCAGCAAGTGTTATTGATTGCAATGCAGCGAGTGTTATTGATTGCAATGCAGCAAGTGTTATTGATTGCAATGCAGTAAGTGTGAAGAACATTCTGCTGAGTGATTGCATTGCAGCAAGTGTCACTGGATTCAGGGCGGCTTAGTGTGTTATTGTGTGCAATATTGTGACTGGTATCCCATGCACCTTTCTGAACTAAGCCCATTCTTCTCCCTTCCCCTTCCACCCCTCTCAACCCCTCGTAACCTGGCTGATCAAACGCAGGACATTCTATCGCCCAATAAGGGCCCCAACCAGCCGTTCCTTGCTGGCTTTACACCCTCTAACACGAGCTCTTAGCTAAGTGTTGGTTTCCAGGCGTCTCAAAAACAACTTTGCTGGCTTTGCTCCCTCCAGCACCAGCGCTTAGCCGAGCGCTTGTTTTGAGACGTGTCAGCTGGCATCTGCATGCAGGCAGGCAGGCAGCTCCTTTCAGTCTGCCAACCACTGTACTGTAATGTGTTTGGTTTCTCCTTCTGTTCTGCTCTATCATTTGTTTATAAATAAACAAACACGGTGTAGCAATACAGACTGTTGCACTTCAGGGCAGCATCTGATGCCTTTCCTCTGTGTTCTGTACATTATTGTGCTTTATTCATTTCTTACCGTAATCCCCCGGATATAACACCCCGGGTATAGTACAAAATTCATGCAAAATCAGGGGGGTGGGTGCTCTATTTCGCGTTTAGGCTATAGCACCCTGGTGTTATATTTGAGGACAGAATTTTTACATGTGCATTAGACTCAGTGCATCATGGCGATTTCAGACATTCAAATTCCGGCTGAAAAGGCGTACCGTATTCCCCCGTATACAGCACCCCGCAAAATTGAACGCCCATGGGTGGCTTGAGCGGACATGGGTGCTTAATTAAACGGGTTATACATAGCACCCGTCTTTTTTGCCTGCAAATATTTGAACACCCCCCCGAAACTTTCAACCTCGCTTTTGAGTAGCATAGACGAGCGCTACCCTCCTTTCCAACCACTGCTGCTGTGCCATCACCTGAGCGTGAGAGCGAGTGGGAAACTTAAGGAACCTATACAGCGCGGTTCAAAGGGTGCGACACAGAAAAATTCGAGACCCATTTTGACTGCCCGAACTAGTGTGTCCCTTCCCTTCCCTTGAATCTTCGAAACTCAATGTTCGCTAGTTGACTTTCGGGTCGCGCGCGCCTTCCCGCCAAGAAAATCGTGCCATGCCTCCTACGGATTGGCTGTTTGGCGTTTCCCCACTTCCGTGCTCGATGTCGAGGGGGAAAACAAAATACAGCAGCGTACGACTGTGCACTTTGTTTGGGAAAAAAAATAGCACATACGCATGTTCCACAACACCCAGGCGTTATACAAAATTAGCCTCTAATTACACCCACCTCAAAATTTAGAGGCATTTTGGTTACCACCCTAGGGTGCTTTATACGGGGGAATACGGTATGTTTTCTCGAGGTTCGGAATAGCCCCGGATTGCCCATTGCTCACGAATTTCAGGTTTGTGTCAGGTTAGTGAAGCAAGGTTGGTGGGTTGGCGACACTCACAATGGACTGGACGAAAATTGCGACGCTCATCAGCCAATCAGCACAGGTCTGTCGCACAATAGAAACAAAAATTGTCGGCCCACTGCGCTTTTCCAGGTGAATATTTGTTTCACTTTGTCATTTTCAGTACCAGAGAACCCTGTCAAGTGCCTCGGAAAATTTCAACTTTTGCGTCCCGGTCGTAATCAGCATGAAATAGCGTGAAAAAACTGCATTTGTTGGTGGTATTGTTAGGCGTAGAAGGGTTTGAATGTAATGGGGGGGTGCTCTCCTGGAACCCTCAAAAAGAGGGTGTATAATTGCGGATTCTTCAATAGAACACCCTCCCCGGATATAACACCAGGGGGTGCTTAATTTCGGCGGGTGTTATATCCGGGGGATTACGGTATTAACTGAAAAATATATGCATAACTCATATTTGTATAGACTGTATAGGGTCACCTCTTAGAGGGTACAACACTCTTAGGTATATACCCTTGTTCTCTCTCTCTCTATTCAATACTTATTCCGTTTTTCTTCTAACTTGGTATCACCCGTAGGTTCGACCCCCCACCTACCGCTTCCGCCCGTGCCTCCTAGGCCCCGTCGTGCTGTCACCTAGGCCCCGTCGCGCCGCCCCCTCCTAGGCCCCGTCGCGCCCCTCCTGGGCCCCCCGTCGCGCCTCCTAGGTCCCGTCGCGCCTCCTAGGCCCTGCCGCGCCTCCTAGGCCCCGTCGCGCCCCTCCTGGGTCCCCGTCGCGCCTCCTAGGCCCCGTCGCGCCTCCTAGGCCCTTCCGCGCCTACTAGGCCCCGTCGCGCCCCTCCTGGGCCCCTATCGCGACTCCTGGCCTGTCGCGCCCCTCCTGGGCCCCCCGTCGCGCCTCCTAGGTCCCGTCGCGCCTCCTAGGCCCTGCCGCGCCTCCTAGGCCCCGTCGCGCCCCTCCTGGGCCCCGGTCGTGCCCCCTAGCCCGTAGTGCCCCTCCTGGGCCCCTGCCGCGCCTCCTAGCCCGCAGTGCCCCTACTGGGCCCCTCGTGCCTCCTCTCCCCCCCCGCCGTGCCTGCCTGGCCCCGTTGCGCCTTCCTGGCCCCGCCGCCCCTGCCAAGCCCCGTCGCGCGTGCCTGGCCCTGCCGCGCCTCCTAGCCCCGCCGCCTCTGCCTGGCCCCGCCGCCCCTGCCTGGCCCCGTCACGCCTGCCTGGCCCTGCCGCGCCGCCTGGCCCCGCCGCCCCTGCCTGGCCCCGTCGCGCATGCCTGGCCCTGCCGCGCCTCCTGGCCCCGTCACGCCTGCCTGGCCCTGCCGCGCCGCCTGGCCCCGCCGCCCCTGCCTGGCCCCGCCACCCCTGCCTGGCCCAGCCGCGCCTCCTGGCCCCGCCGCCCCTGCCTGGCCCCGCCGCCCCTGCCTGGCCCCGCCGCACCTCCTGGCCCCGCCGCCTCTGCCTGGCCCCGCCGTGCCTGCCAGGCCCCGCCGCGCCTGCCTGGACCCGCCGCGCCAACTTAGCCCCGCCAGCACCTGCCTGGCCCCCACCGCACCTGCCTGGCCCCTCCCCTCCCTGCTCGCCCGTGCTGAGGCGCTTCGCGGCCGCCGTGCTAGAGGGGGCTGTCGCTGTGTTCCTGTGGAGCTGTGCCGCTGACCTTGCACGATGGCGGACTTCGTGCTCCGCCTGGACGCCGAGGGCCATGCGATTGACTTCGCCGCCTGACTCTCCGATCTCCGCCGCCACCTTACAGGTCAGCGCCAGGATGGCCACTCCTTGGGCTTGCTCCCCCGCCCCCCCGCCCCTGCTCCCCTCCCTGCTGATTCCTCCTCTGATGACCGTGAGGCCTTCTCTACTGCCGCGCTTGCCCGTGCGGTCTGGGACTCCCGCGATGCAGTCGCTCAGGTTGCCATTAGCCACGCCCTCCCTGTCTCTGAGCGCTCGCGTTTTGCTACTATTGACACGACCAAAGCTTACTTAGACGCTGTTATTGCTCGCTATTCCACACCCGCGTCTGCTTCTGCTGGCCGCCTGCTCTTCCCTATGCTTTTCCCAGACCTTGCAGCTTTCCCTACCGTCGCAGACTTTTCCACTCACCTGCGTGCCCTAGAGACCCGCTATCGCCCTGCGAGCACTGCTGCCCAGCTCACTGCGCTCCCCCCCCTTTCTGCATGACGCTCTATTTTATTGCCATGCGCCTGCCAGACCGCCTCGCTAGTGCCCGCGATCACTTCCTTAGCCAGCACCCGGGTGACCTCACCCTTACTGTCTTTGTCGATACCCTTACAGAGATCGAGACTCGCCAGCGTACTATTGCACAGTCGAGCGGTGCGCCGGCAGTTTCTATCTTTCACGGTTGTGCCCCCTCCCAGTGTATGTTCACTGACGTTTCGGCTGCGGTCGCCTCGGCGGCCCCTCTCGCCGAGACGGCTGGTGCGGTCCACCCGCAGCAGCGCCCGCGCTGTGGTGGCCGTGGTCGCCAGGGAGGTAGGGGTGGTGGCGGTAGTGGTGGTGACGGTAGTCCACCTGCGGCGACTACCACTGGTGGGCAGGAGCAGCAGCCCCAGCCGCAGCAGGAGCAGCCCTAGCCGCAGCCGCCGTCCCAGCAGCAGCCGCCGTCCCAGCAGCAGTCGCCGCAGCAGTGGGCCCGTCTCCCGCCAATTTGGCCCGGCACCTCTGGAGGTAGTGGCCGTGGTGGCGGCCCGCGCAGCTTGGCGTCTAACGGCGGCTCCAGTGCTGTCACCTGCCAGTACCAGCTTCAGACCGGGCCTCTTCGCGGCACTCTGTGCCGCCGCCCGCACCCGACCGCCCGTTGTTTCCGCCGCCTCGACGATCTCTTTCGTCGTCGCTTTGGCCCGGCCCCAGACCTCCCCGACTGGCACAGCCTGCTCCGCCAGGGCGTGCCGATCTTTGAGTTAGATATGGATCAGATAGGTGCTGCTGTGCATGCCTTGTATTCTGATGCTTCTAGTGTTGCTGGATCTTATTACCCTGTGTACTCTAGTTTAGGTGTTGCACCACTGTGTAGCTTTGCTTCCCCTGCTGCGTCAGGCGTAGGACTGCCTAGGTTGCCTAGTCTAGTCGCTGCACAGGCTCCGTCCCCGGCCTCCGCCACTGCGTCGCTGTCCTTCACTCTCGACTCCGGGGCTTCTGCCTGTTTCTTCCGCGACCGGTCCACGCTCACGCCGCTCGCTGCACCTGCTGTTGTCTCTCTCGCTGACCCCTCTGCGGGTCCTGTCGTCGCTCGCAGTTCTACGTCCCTTCCCTGTCCAGCAGTTCCCTCGGGCTCCCTTACAGGTCTCCACGTTCCCTCGTTCTCGAGGAACCTGGTTGGTGTCGGCTGTCTTCAGGACCTCGGCGTCACCACCACGTTCCCCGGACACGAGCAGTTCGCTGTCTGTTCTGAGGCTGTCTCAGGTTCCCCCCTTGCGACGTTCCCCCGGGACCCGGTGTCCGGTCTGTTTACCCTCGACACCGCTTCCCCCCCGGTTCGTGCGTCCTCCCAGGTCGCTGCAGCTTGCTCGTGTCGGTCCCTCACTCACCCCTCCCTTCTCTGGCACTACCGCTTAGGTCACCCTGCTCTCCCGCGTCTGCGTCACATGTCCCAGCACGGCCTTGTCTTAGGTCTCCTGCGTCGCTCCCCGCCCTTCCTTCCTCGACTGCGCCACCGTGCACGCCGTGCGTCGAGGGCCGGCTCCGCCGTGCCCCCCACTCCTCCTCGCTGCGCCCGGCCACTGCCCCCCTCCAGACCTTGCACCTGGACGTTTGGGGCCCGGCCCCCGTCCCCGGACCGCGCGGTGAGCGCTACTTCCTTGTGCTCGTCGACGACTACACGCGCTACACCACGGTGTTTCCCCTGGAGCGGAAGGCCGACGTGCCCGACGTTCTTCTCCCGTGGGTTTTGGTTGCGCGTCTCCACCGCGGTCTTCCCGTGTTGTGTCTCCACTCCGACCGTGGTGGCGAGTTCGCCTCTGGTCGGCTTGGACAGTTCTGTCGTGCGGAGGGCATCACACAGTCGTACACCTTGCCGGACTCGCCACAGCAGAATGGGGTTGCTGAGCGCCGCATTGGCTTGGTCATGGAGGTCGCCCGTACCTCCATGATCCATGCCGATGCCCCCCATTTTCTGTGGCCGTTCGCTGTTCGCTACGCTGCTCACCAGCTTAACCTGTGGCCACGCTCCCAGCGGCCGCAGGTTTCGCCGACCCTC